GTGCCTGTGCCTGTGCCTGTACCTGTACCTGTGCCCGTGCCTGCTGAACCCGCCTGCGGACACGGGCCTGAGGACACCACACCCACCTGCCCTCACGATATTCCAGGCTATTTTTGGGTGATACCTGGATTTTTTAAAAAGCTTTCTATGTTACACTGGACACTGATGGGCAGCTGCATGTAACAGGGTGTAGGATTAAGGGTGTTGCTGGTCCTAAGTGTAACAGAATGACAAACCTGGCTGGTGAAGCCTCTAGAGATTTAAAAACCTGCTAAATCAGAGGGCTAAAATGAATTCTTCTACCAGAGCACTTTTCTCTCTTTCTTTCCAGCCTCTCTAGTGAGGACAAAATTTAATGTGGCCCAGCCACTGCAGGGACCTGGAACGTAGCTCATGTCCATATTTCAGTTGCATTTTGCTTTCTTTCTGTGACTTCCTTTCTGTGACTGATGATACTCTTTTCCTCTAATACCTCTATTATAGGACATGAAGAAATCTGTAGTGCCAGTTGATATGTAAACTACATCAACTGCAGACCTTTTCAAATTAGACATTCGTTGAACACTTACTATATTTTCTGATTGCAGTACAGTGGACTTAAGTTATTCCTTTAATCCATTCTCTGATACACAAATTTAATATAAAGATTGCTTTTTCTGATCCATCACTGATGTATGTGGCAGCCTGTGGCAGAAAACTATTTCTGTCTTCAATCCCAGTGAAAGTTTCCAAGGATCTCTAATTTTCTGAGAGAGAGCACTTTTCCAAAAAACATAAGGGAGATTCTCCCTACCTCCACAGTGGTCAGAGTTCTGTTTCTACAAGATTATTCATGTAAGATTTTTTTCCTAGCAGTGCTGTTCCAGGAAAAAAAAATCTGATTCCACTGCCAATACTGAAAACAAACAGAAGGAGAAGGAATGACTGATGAGCATCTGCTTTCTTTAGTGATTTATGGCAGTTAGGAATTTTTTAAGCCCCATGTGTCCTATTTTGTTTTACCCATGTGTGCATTCAGGCTGATGGTGCTTTACATGTGAAATGTGGCAGCTTCAGTGTGTAGTGGAACACAGCTGCAAATGAATGGCATTTATTTACTGCTGGAATTAGTTCTGAATTTGCTCCTGAATTTATTCCTGAAAGAATGACTTCTTTCTTGGACTTAAGCATTAGAGATGTTTCTTTACCTGATTTCTAAGAGGACCCAGGCTGCTTTGCTCCTGATGGCTGAGTAGGGGTGTGAGAGCTTTTCCTTCAGCACAGGGACAGCACCAGCTGCCAGGGCTTCAGACACCTCCACACGGAGGCAGTTGGAGAGGGTGCTCAGGATCAGCTCCTGGATCTCATCCAGCTCTGTCTCCAGCTTCAGCACCAGCGGGGGAATCAAACCAGCCTGCAGGACACCACCAGCCCCTGCAGAGGGACAGCAAGGGATGGGGTGAGAGCTGAGTGCAGCTGCTATTGCTACCTGCACCTGCAATTGCTTCAGAGGACCAAAACACATGTGGGAACTCATTTCCTTACACAGAAATGGAATTGAGAGATGGAAACTACTCCAACATCCCCTGTTTGTAAATGTATCTCAGCATTGCTTCTTTGGGAAGCTTCCCCAAAGCTCCTCTAAAGAAATCAATACCAGGTAATAACCAATATGACAATTGCTTTGATGTTCCCAGTTTCTCTGTCATATTTCTCCCAAAATTGTCCTTGCAAGGAAAATATAGGAAATATATATCAATTACAAAGTCACCTCCTATGCAGCTTTTCTGACTGTTCTCAACATGAGCAGATGCCAAGACAGACAGAGATGTTGGCCTTTAGAGCTTGTTCTTTTATTCTCATGGTGGTTTCTGGTGGGGGGAAGTCAAGATTTTGGGAACTGTCTGCTTCCTCACACATTTCTTTGTAGTAGTTCTGTCAAGGCAAAAATTTAAATTCTGAACTTTCCAGCAGTCAGTACTCTTGCACTGGCTCCTAAAATATAACATCAAAGGTACAGAGATCATAACTTGCCCAGCAAGTGATGCCTTTGCTATGAGCAAGAGTCTGATTTGTACCATTTCTCACCCTTTACTAAGTCAACACTCACCAGCAATGCCAGGGGAAAGCAGAATGTACTGTCCACGAGTAACTATGTGAAAACAAAATTCTCCAGCTTGTCTTGTTGCTAAGACTGATTCTTTGGTTGCTATGAGAAATGTGGCTCCTTTCAAAGTGATTCATATGTGGTTAGATAAGGAAGTTTTGTGGATAAGAGTCACCAAGGTATTTTCAAATGGATCTTCACAGCAGAGACAAGTGGGAAAGACATTTTCATGACCCATGGTAGTGCATAAGAAAAATCCCTCACCTTGATAACTGGGTGAAAAACAGGATTCTAATCTAGAGGTTATTCTGTTGTACATATTTCTGAGGCTTTGCTAATACTGAACAACTTCTTATGGTACTGACTCATTGGGATCCACGTTACAATGCCAAGGCCAAGAAATGCCTTGGGGTGATATTACAGCTTTACTACCTGTGCTGAAATTGGAAGTCAGTTTCTGTGAGAATTCAAATAAATAAGGAAAACCAGTTCCAAGACAATTCACATTGAAGGCTAGCAGCATTTTACAAACAAGGATTTCTCTTTGTGCCAGAAAGGCAAAGCAGGAAAGGAAAGTGAAATGATGTTCTTTGAAGCTGTGGCTCTGTGTGTCACTGCACAGGGGAGTTGCTGCTTTCACTGTGAAAAAAACCCAACCAACCCTATATTGTTCCCTGGAGGAACAAAAGAAATTTCTCAAAGAGTAACTCCAGCCCATTGGTAGTGCTCCTGCAGAAGGATGTGATAGAGGACACCTGCACTACTGCTCTGCAGGGGACTCTGCTGGAGGGCCCCTGGGAAGGAGCCCCAGCTGGTCCATGACCAGCACCAACCCTCTGGACAAGGCTTGCTGGGGTTTGGGTTGCACACTGTAGGTACAGAATGGTTTTGGCAGGTTAGAAATGTGGCTGGGAAATTCTCCATGCCTTATAGAATGCCAGGCACTAGGGAACCCACTGGTGAACTGCTCCCAAGGAAGCAGACTAAAGGAGTTACCATATCCAGAATTCCTTCAGCCACACTTCCCAACAGTCTTTTGAAATGGCCTATGAAATACAAGAATTTTCGAATGCAATTTTTAGAACTCCTCCAGAAGTTTTTCATGAAAACAAATTGTATGGTCTGAGTACATGGTGGATCCCCAGACTGCTCACAGTCACTATATGCACTTGTAAATTCTGGGTGGAAATCAGTACAGAGTGTCAGTCTGGGAGGTAGAGTTTCAGAGGAAGAGCAGTAAATCAGCTGGGACAGCCTCAGGCTCACACTGCCTGTCACAAGCCCCTGTGTGTAGCTTTGACTCACATGGATCCCAGTGCTCCTTGGGACAGTCCATGAGCAAACCCTTTGGTACAGTGCAGACACACTCTGGTTTGAGCACTGCTTGATTTAACCCAACTCCATCAGTCTGTAACAACTGCTGCTGTAGCATTCCCTCTGCCTCCCTCGTGCTGGGAGATGTACTTGGCTCTTTCCTGGTTTTTGTGCTTGCTTTCAAATACTTACTAGCCTTTTTTAACCCACCATGTTAAGTTTCATTTTCACTTTGCTGCAATTCCCTTTTTTTCAGGACTTCCTTGCTAAGTTCTCTCAGTTCTCTTGATCACTTCATCATCATACAGCCAGGAAGTACAACCAGCATTCATGTTTCACTTCTTTCTGTCTGAGTGTTTCAATTATCTTTAATGTATTCCACCAATACACTCATGCAGCCAGGGCTGCTTTCAGTTGCCCCTGGCTTTATTCCTTCCAGTTAATGTTTATTGACCTTCTTTGCCTCAGTCATCCCTCATTCATTGCACTTCATGCCTTCTTTGGGTGCTGGCCTCACTGTGGCACTGCAGTCCAGGGTGTGAAACCCAGCAAAGCCACTTTGTGTCACTTTGTGGCTGTGTCCCAGAGCTGCTAAGGCACAGTGTTGTCTAGAACAGCTTGGATTTTGTACAGCCATTAACCTGTATTTATTCTGGAGCTACTGGTGCTCACTTTGTCTGAACACTTGGGATGTTCTAATGTTTTTTTTTAAATTGATTTTGTTTTACCAGGCTGGGTCTCTGTACCAGGAGCTTTCTTGTCTACTGTTTTTGTCAAGCTGTCTGAGCTCAAATGCTGTCGTGCTATGAGAGGGAGCTTCCCAGATACAAATATAGAAATGAAGATGAATTGTTTGACCTTGTCAAAAGTCTCAGTGTGGTGAGGAGAAAGAGGGTGGAGAGGAAAGGCCATCATCAACAACAAAAAGAGACTACCTAACACTGAGACTGAAATTTCCACGTGGAAATTCGTCATGATTTTCCCAGGGGAACCACAGGTTGAAAGGTCGAGGGAGGGAAAAGGGAGGAGACAAAATCAGTGGCAAGTTGTCTGGGATCACTTGTACAGGAGAGAGGTCTCACATCCTTGGATCTTAGTGGGTGAGCAATAGGAGGGGAAGGTAAGCTGGGGTTTGGATAGTCCTGTACTGAAAAATACAGTGGCATCCTCAGGATATCGACTTTTTCATTAAAACACTGCCCTTTCAAAGGGGTTTGTCTGTTGCAGAGAGTGTTCTAGATACCCTGGGCCCAGGGAAGTAGCTGGGAAAAATGTTTTCAAAATGCAAATAGTTGCATTTGCAGCTGCATAGTTAACGTCATTATTGATCTGTTTTTCTGAGAACTTGTAATCTTCCCTTGGGCTGCTTTTTATCTGAGCACTCATCTCTTCCTTCTCATAACTGTCTGGCCACTCTCATCCTCCCTTTCCTGATTTTTTTTCAAATAGGCCCAAAGAGGAGTTGCCATTTATTCTGTTCTCTCAGTATGGCTGCAGGGCATGTAAACAAGTTCAATTTAGTAGAAGATGAAGGAGTTATTTACAGTCCATAAGAATGGTGTTTTGTTTTGGTTTTCAATTACATAAATCCAATCATATTGCAAATATTTTTCCTTGAAAATGTTGGTTTTTAACTCAAAATGGTCTGGTCTGAAGCATGGCCACAAAGTGATGACTGGTGTAATAGAACACAGAAAAATAATAGGGAAACACAGATTCTCTGTTGGCACCTTGGATGTGTCTCTGCCATGGTCACACCAGGATTTGAAATGCTCAGTGCAGGAATTGTGCTGAGGAAGGGGCACAGAGGAAAAGCAAAGCAGAGGCAGGGGAAGGGAATCTGCTGCCTGGCACCACAGCCAGCTGGCACTGCCCTGGGGAGCTGGGAGTACCCT